AAACATCGCAGGGGCAGCCTTATATTTAGTTTATATTTTCGGATGTCGGTGAAATTGTTTGCCGGCGCGCGAGCGCACGTGCCGGCTTTTATCGGTCACGTGCACCTGCGTATACGGAGTATGCATCGAAATGTCAGGTGTGCATCCCTTCATTTTCCTGCATCCGGGCACTTTCAATCGAGACGCCGTATCGGCGGAGCTGCCGCATCCCATCGCAATTTTACAGCCGTATAAATCCCGCGGAGGGTTTCCTTAATACTTCAGTGGCGTCGAGTAAACCCGCACTCGGCTTGGTCCATCGGTCTTGGGCCAATCTCCCGCTGCCAGTGCGCCGGGTGATTTTCGTGCAACAGCTCTATAGCTCTATCGGATAGGTATCGTTGCGGGTATGGGCGATCGTTGTCGGCGAGACGTTGGATCCCCTCTCGTTTCCGATTGGACGTTGCTTTATTGGACGTAGCGGTGGTTTATAGATTCCGATTTTCTCGGCGAACTCCGCGTTTAACTTTTACTCCATTTACCATCCTTCTCGCGCGGCCACCACCCGCGTATGCTTCCCGCTCCTCTTCCTATCGCTTCCTGCTCCTCCTATCGAACTGCCGCATGCTTTATTCACGGCGCGGCCGAGCTCGTCTCGGCCGGGCATCCAACGTCGGAATTCGTTACGCGATCAACGATGGACGACTCCTTTTTCGCGATGGCCCGATCGATACGCTCGTACCGCCGATCGTTCAGGATCGATAATTCCGTTTTACTGTAACGTGCCGCAAGCCGCCGCTTCCTTCTTCTACGTATTGCACAAACCTGAGAGGATGTGAAGATGTAACACGCAAAAAAATACGCTCGATTCAAGCGAGGCTGATCTTATCGTTCGATGCACGTCCTCAAAGACAATGATAAAGATACGAAGATTGCACGGGCGCGCGTTCGTGGAAGCGGAATTACCTGGTTTCCCCTGGTTATAGCTCAAAACCGCAAGGCGGTTAACGCTGCTGAATTTCTTTCCATCAAGTATGAATTTACTCAGAGAAGTTATTTCTTTCTTTCTCTAAAGAAATGTTCATGCAGCAATCCTTTTTATATTCTAAAACTATACGGCTGAGTTATAGTCGAATAATTTTCAAATCACTCAACGTACTTGATATTTCGCTCACAGTAACTAAAATTCACAGTAAATATTAAAAGTGCGACTACTTTCGAACAATTGCAAATACTCGAGATCATAATTGTTACCTTCAAAAAAAAAGAAGAAAAATATGCGTTAATTACACATCGATTCGTTATGTCGGTTGCTTTTAAAATGCCAGAGGGGAAGACGTGCAACTCCTCTCGCGTGTATTCTTCGGGCGTCATGCATGCAGGACCGTCCCTTTGTAGGATACACGAGCTTTAAACTTCCCGGCCGTCTATTCTAGCCACGTACTATAACTCGCCTGGAACGCGTGCGGTCCCTCAGGGCGGACGCACGAAACGTTTCTTCCCCTTATGAAATTGTAACGGAGGCAGGATTAGCATAGGGCATTGTCTCCGGAGCGAAGGGTAGATTCACGTTGTAGCGATGTTATCGAGATCGATCCACCGATCCGTCCACCGACAGTATCCGAATTTCCATTCTCACTTTCGCTCTCGAAAATACGCCGTTTTAAATGTACATCTTAAATCTCGCGACGTGTATATTGTTTTTTCGTATTGTTTCTCGAATGTATCTAACTTTACTCGTCCAAAATTGGAAAATTTATGAAAAACAACATCGGAAATAGACAATATTCTGTCATACTTTTTGTGAAATCAGAGAAAGTCTAAGATTAATCGTTATAGGCTTCAAAAAATTTATCATAAATATTAAACTAGAATGTTACATTTATATATTCGAAATTTATACAACAATTTGATCATATGTTCCGCTTTTATTATCCCTCGCTCGACTACTAGTTTCTTTTTAACACGCCTGCTCGACTTACGATATATAACTAGCGCTTTCAAGTCGATCTGACCCCATTCCGCATTGTATCTCCCTCAGAACACCCGCAGCGATCCTTCCCGCTTCTACCAGCCGGACGATCATCATGCATATATGTAAAATGCAAAATTGTATCATCCTACACGCGGTATTCCTTCTTACGTCTCCTTCACCTCGCGCGTCCACATATCTTGCTTTTCAGTTTACCCCAGCATCCCCCGTAGAAATAAATGCTCCAGGGACTTAACGGAAGAGGGAACGAAAGAAGGGGACCGGTTCTTGTGGGCTGTTCGGGCCCACGTTAACGTTTCACGGCCACATATCGCTAAGCGAAAATCGAAATTCCACGCCCGTTAATTCTCAATGGAATCGAATCCTGTGGTGATAGCGGCCGACCTCGCGATGTGATTTCATTGTAACCAAGCCGAATAGATCGAGCATTCGCAAAAATAACGGAATCAGACGGCGATGAAATTTATAACAAAAAAAAAAAAAAAAAACTAGCCGAAGTTCTCGGCTCGATAAATATTTACATCGGTAATACGCGAGCGTATGTATGATTTATCGTTTAACGCACCAGATTGTTTTAATCGTGCATCAAAATGAATTATTTGTTGATGGCGAAGGTGGAATTATTTTATCGCTGTTTCATCATTTTCTCAAACTTCAGAACGTATGTGGATGCAACTTCGTCCGCTATCGTTGACACATTTTCGCGCGCAAGTTGCCCGCGCAAAACCCAGCATGCGGAACGTAAGTTACGTTCGTGCAAACTCTATATCGCTCCGCGGTGAACGGCTCCGGAGTAACTTGGCCAGAACGGCTCTTCCGTGCCGAATAACTCGCGCGTGTACATCAATTCGCTTCGTGTATCTATTTAATGATCACGAACGAACCAGGCGAGGAACGCCTGGAGGCGAGGAATAACTATCCGTCGTGCTTCGACGTTTTCGCGTCCCCGGTTCCTGTGTGTCCAGCGACCGCATTGTCATCTACGTTCTAAATTAGTTTCAGCGCTACCACAATCGTTGCATGAAGACGACCAATGAGAAACGACGGGACGAGAGTGGAGCAAATGCTTAGTCTCTCTCTCTCTCCATTTCTCCTGTTCGTGAAATAGTTTTTCATTCATGTTACGGATGATGGATTTAACGGTAACAAATATAATTGCATTTTCGAATCATCAATTTCTCTCCATATTGGAGCATTGCTTCGTCTTTCTTTTGCCGCCTGTTGATTTATTTAAGGAATAAACTTTCATCAAAGTGTTTTTTTTTTTGTGAGTTAAGAAGTTTTCTCTTTCGTATGAAGCAAACAAGATAGATACGATAATCTTATAAACTCTCAATAAAAATGGAAATAGTCGATCAGTTTTTGAATGTTAATATTTTTTTTTTTCCGAAAAGAACGTTGCTGTAAAAAGCGATAAGCTGAAAACTATCCGGAACAAATTTCTCTCAAATAAAATGTTCTGTTGAATCTATACATTAGTTGCTGACGGTGTTTCGTTATACCATTTGAGTATTCTTCACCTCTTTCACAAGGAAAGTCCGAGGTAATCGCTTATTTTCTTTAACAGTAGAAACTGACACTGTAAAATCGCGATAACGCGCGGAAACTCCAACGTTGCTCGAAGTGCCTGAAGATACGAACTTCTTGCCGGAAGTTGTAGGTCGAGAGCGAGAGGTCGAGGCAGATGGAGGAGCACGGCGATTTTCCAATCGAGCCGCGGGGCGTTCGTTGTCTCTCCGAAGAGAACAAATCGACGAACAATGTCGACGATCGGATTTCGTCTCGGTTAGAGTCAGCCCGAATGAGCGGGTTCGTAGATAGCCGTCGCCAGGTGGAAGCGACTCGTCGCATCTTGTCGCAAACGGGGAGGGTTAAAAAGCAATTTTCCCTCTCCGGTCGAGCGTCTGGCAGCTGACCACCGTTTCTGGTGGCAGAGGCGATCGGAGGCGAGATCTCGACGTAGCAATTCTGATTCAATCTACGACGACCAAGCGCGTTGCATTTACTAAAATCCGCCCGACAGTGCGTTCGTGTGTGTTGTGTACGTGGAAGAAAAAATATATATACGAGAAACCACATTTGAGATTAAAGATATGAGAATGACGAAATAAAAATTATCATCTTAAAAGCTCAGAAAATAAAATATTTCACGATACTGTAATAATTTCGTAATTTGATAATATTTAGATGATTATTTATTACATCTCTGCATTCAGCAAATGTACTTTTTTGCAAATACAATATACGAACTCTTAAATCGGAGCTTGTAAAAAGGGAAAGCGTGGAAAAATCATCATACGATTCGCCTACAATGGATCGCTTAGCCAGCAGATACGTGTCAGCTGTCTCGATGACGTCCGTGTCGTTTCGCTCGGCTATGCATGATTGACAGTTTTATGGGGACAAACGGAACCCACTTTCCAAGTTACGACCGGGGTCTGGTTTTACCCCCTCAAATAGGGGCCAAACATTATGCGACATTTGATGCTAATCGATACGAGGACGGCCGCGGGGGAAAAGAGCGCCGTGGACTTAAGTTTCTCTTGAGATTTATTCGCAAATAAATTCTTTATGTGCGGCTTAAGGAAAATTAGTTTGGAGTTTATAGTTTATAAATAATAACGAAATCGTGAAACATTTATATAGGTTTCTTCATAATTTCTTATAATTCTGAGAAATTATTATAAACTTTTTATTACATTTTATTTAGATATAATTAGAATATTTATTTTTCAAAATGTTAGATATGTTAAATTAAATTATTAATTATTTTATCGCACGTATACGTATTGCGTAATAAAAAGTTATAAATCTAATTAGAGTTACGCCAAGTTATTTCGTGAGGCTTCGCCATGTGAAAAAATACAGAGGACACATTTCCTGTTTAGGGCTAAATGCGACTTTAATTACGAGTTTAATTTGCTTGTCAAATCTAAACATTGACCTCGGTGTAAACATGAAATGTGACGCACGTTGCAAATTTAACATCAAATGCAACCAGAATGTACAAAAGGTCTGGACAACTCACCTCACAGTTGGAATGACTGATGTTACTCAGATTTAGCCTGAAGATCTTGTCCCTGAAAGCAAAAGAGGAAAGTTCCGTGTTAGCGTAACGGTCGAATTAAGCGTGGTCGCGATAGACGAAAGGGTCGTGGGGGTAAATTTTCATTCCCAACGTCTGCGAGATGCATTACTCTCCGTGACTCGACCCTACCTTATCTCCGCCACGGTTATGTATGGTTGTGTAGCACCGCGGCACTTTGCTTACGGCTCTCTGCCGCGGCGAACGCTAGCAAACGGCACGGAATTTCTATGAGGATGGAAAAGGAGAGGACCGGAGGGTAAAGTGGTACGCGAGGTGCCTCCTTTCTGACCGAGTTCCACGTTGTCTTCTCTTTGCTCGACTCGGTGGCCGAAGTCACGTAGTTTTCGTACCGTTCGTTTTTATTAGGATTTTATTCCTCGGAAAATCGTCGTTCACGTTCGAGGCTGACGGGTAAGACATAATAAGAATGGAAGTCGGTGAATCGAAATAAACATCATAGATAATGCAGCGCGCATAAAAGCCGTCATATAAAAGTTGACGTGACTGCATTAATAAATTCGCATCAGTTGTCACGGCATTAATTTCGACAGTGGAAATGATATGTTTCGCGTATTTCGATCAATATAGTAGGTAGTGCGTTTATCAGTGTGAGCAACCTCAATGATTTTCATATAAATCTCTTCGCGACCATCGCTCCGGCAATCTGAGGTGCTGCGTTCGATCATACGTGAAAGGTATACGCGCTGCTGGGCGCCACCGATCGTAAATCGAATTTACCCAGTTTTCAAATGTGTGTGTTTCGCAACATTAACGTCGGCGCGCCGCATAACTTTATTCCAATAGCCATTCATCATCGCCTTTCAATAGAAATACGCAGTCAGACGGAATGCGCTCGCGGAACGTAAAAAAAAAAGAGAAAGAGAAAGAGAAAGAAAAAAGCAGAAAGAGTGAAGAACGAGGAGGGAAGATCTATCCCTCAGCGGCTCTCCTTTTTCATTCATTCTGTGCATCGTACCGTGAAAAAGTAAATACCGATGTGGAAAAACAAATCCGTACTTTGGAATCTACCCGCGTCGAACTTTCGTCTCGGCGAACTTTTAGAGGGTTTTAGCAGGTGGAAAGGAAACGCGAAGGGAGAGGGAGAGAGAGAACGAGTATCGTCTACGTGCTGGCACGTCGCTACTGAAAGAAAAAATTTGTAGGAAAGTAATTTGTGGGGGAAACTCGGGCGGGTTGTACTACGAAGTCATCGCTCAGCCGCTTTGAAATCCAATTGGTAAAACGTACGTAATCAAACCGAGAAATTACTTCGCCGTTAAAAATCGCAGAGGAAAAATTTCATTAAGATCTCATTGACACGCTTCTATGAGAAGTGGAACATTTTCTAAAAATAAAGAAAGTGTTACTTGAGAATCGGGAAAAGAATTCGGTTCAATTTAACATTTTACATCGCCTTAAGGGCTTTCGAGGGAAAGTTTAATTAAAATCTCGAGCAGTTTGCCGAGGTCGTACAGCAATTTCTTAAACTATTAAAGACGCCTTGTAGAGACTGCGGAAGAAATTTCAACAAATTTCACTGCTAATTATGCAAATAGGAACAAAGAACTTAATTAAAGGATGAATTTATATATCACGGGGCTCTAAACAATGCCGAGTATGACCATACGTGTTGTCCGCATTTCCGCGTCCGAAATAGGTCACAGCTTGAGATAATAGCCACACCGCTTTCATGTCTAGCATAGGGTTTCACTTGCGTAATACGAACATTTTCACCCGTAGGGGTAAGAAGGAGCCTGACGAATGCCGGGCGAAATCCGAAAAGCATCGTTGTCTGAATTTGTGGTTGTGCGTGACGGACAGCTCTGACCCGGGATGCATTATCCAACGCGTCGAGACCTACCCTCACCCCCCCGCCCTCGCTACTCTGGGGGAATACATGACAAGGGGCCAGAGAAGTAGCGTTTGCAACAATGCTATTTACTCCGACGCCTTCGGGAAAGAGATGTATATCCGCGAGAGGAGATGGGTTTAACATAATAGACCGATTTTAATAATTCCTGGTATAAATCAACGAATATACATACATCGGAATAACGTCCGCGTTTCAATAAACCGCAATGCAGCTCTGACGTTTTAATACGTCACTTTTCATAAAATAATAATAACCGGGAATACAAAAGCGCGCGTAAGAGGTGGAACGGCATGAAAAACGAATGGAACGCGCATACAGTAGAAATACACGATTTAGCACAAATTAGATTCAACCTAATTCTTCTATACAATTTTATCAGCTGCAGTCCGACGGGTAATCCACTAAATCGATATACGACGTCCGAAAGTGTTAACATCGTCGCAAATGTTCGGTAGAGAGAGCTCAATTGTCACAGTTGACTCTGCAACGCCGCAAGCTCGTGACCGTTTTCACCCTGCGAGCATTCGCGATCGTAACTCACGCTTCTCTCACGCTATCTCGAGCTTTTTCCGGTTGTTTCGGCGTTGCGCGTTACGGCGTTACGAAGGTGAAAATCTCCGCCGTTGCGTTTCCGGCAACGGTTATTGGGGACAATTAGGAGGAAAACCAGTCGCGACTAGATGCGACATGTTAATCCTCAATCGCGCTGGCTTCTCCGTCGGATGGGGAGAATTGACGCCGACAATAGAAAGTCTGGCGCGAGAAACACGGCAGGTGCCGACGGAATGAGATGAAAATATGATCGACGAATTTTTATCTCGTTTCGCTAGACGCCCGGCAGACACCAGTCGCGAACAGGGATATATAGGCGAGTTATATTTTTTTTCGTACAACTCTCGCCAGCGGCCTCTCGCTTGATAATTGGGAGCGTTCAATTAGCGTGCCTTAATTGCGGAACGAACCACAACGCGGGGTGCCGATTCTCAAACTACAATTAATGGCTATCACCTTTCTAATTAACGAGGAACGATGCTCGCGCGTGTATCGATCGTCGCTTGCGATAACGGAGAAAAACGATATCGTGAAGAACGGGTATGATGACGGACACGAGAAAAGAATTGCGATCCAGCACGAGGTCATGCAAGCAGAAGAGAGAGAGAGAGAGAGAGAGAGAGAGAGAGAGAAAGAGAGAGAGCGCGAGAGTCGATCGATATACAAAAGTCTGAATGTCTTAAATCCATTTAAAAATTACATTTCATGGTCATGAAACTTAAATGTCTCTTAGCATCGAAAGAGGAATATCAAAACGATTTCCTTTAAGACTGTTATCGGAATTTTCTTCGATATTGTAGTTTCATAGGTAGATACGTATATATGTACAAGCATGTGGAACGAAGCCAAGAAACAGGAAATGTTAAAGTCGAAGTAGCCGCTTTCCTTGGGAAATGCAATTTATCGTAACTGCGCTTTTCCTTTTGTCGCCCCATATGGCGAGCTCTATTGCAAAGAGAAAGAAAGAGAAGATAGATAGAAGATAGATAGAAAAGGAAAGAGAGAAAGGAGAGAAAAGCAAAATTATTTCAAAAGTGGAAGCTTTTATGTGATTGTGCTTTATTTTTCCGTCGCACAGAAATATGATTTATATCATCTTTATTTGATTTTTCTACCTTTATATGTTCAAATCAGTTACTGTTAATATTTATCTTTTCTATCTTTCACGAAAGGATTATCCATTTTAAATTTCGAAGATTAATATTTATTTTATTTATAGTAAAGATTATACATATATATACTTTGTTCTCTCAAAAAAAAGATTAGATAATATAATCATTTTTGCTACTGGTGAATCACAAGTTGTAACATTACAACTCCAAATGATTTCGAAACGAAAGCGAAGTCAATTGAACGTCTTATTTTATTGACGAAAACATACTCTCGTGTTCGAATTGTAAGAGAACTTCGTAAGACAATCCGTTTCGTCTCACAAAGGGATTAAGCAAGCATCGCTCTTGTCTGTCTTGAAATTTCTTCATATCCATGAGCAGTGAAGGCCATCCTCGCTGCGTCTCCATTACCGGGGCTTCGTAGCATTTTGCTGGCATTTACCAAATTAAGAGGAGGGAGGTAACACAAAAGAGAACGGGGAGGAGAAACGGGGCGTACGTTGGCGGGATGGTCGCCGAGGGTGGCGGCGACAGAAGCAACCTGGGACCGAATCAAGAAATAATACTCCGCTGAGATAATGATGTGACGTCTCCCCCGCAATCTGTACGAAATTCGGGAAGCAACACAGGGTCGACTCTTTAGCTTTTGCTACCGCCGAGTCGTCATCGAGGAAATAGTAGCCCGATACTCGTGCGAACAGAGAAGAGTCGATCGATTTAACGGGTTATTACCTAGGGAACGGCAAGAAACACTTCGAGGAAACTTTTAATTACAACTAGTTTGCGTTGAGAGATCTAAATCGGGATGAGAAAATTAAGAAATGTTAAGAGATACGCGCATCGAGAAGAAAGCGCGGTGTAAAACAAAAATACAATTCATAGAGAATTAACGAGTGGATTTGAGTTTAAGTATTCGCCATTGTATCTGTGATACGCATATTAAATTCGCAATATACCATTTCGAATGCAATGCCTAGAGCTGTTACGTTTTTCAGGGATACAACAGCAAATTCATTAATTCTGATTTCTGTCGACACGCCGTTTTTCATTTCCTCGACAACCATAATTGCCGAGATCGTCAGTTTCGATTTGTATTATGTGTTTGCTTTTCATGCCGTTTCCTTCCGCAGTTCAAAGGCACCGAGTAAATTGCCTTTCTGCAAAGTGAAACATTTAGAGCGAGAGGATTCTGATCATCTTCCATAAAACGAGGCAGACGGGTAAATAAGTCGGGTAAGTCTGCGGTTTTCACGAACAATAATAACAAAAGCGGTAAATAAATAGAAATATGCGCACAATCGTGAATTGAAATAGCTGAATATTGTAGAATAAAAGCGTTTCAAATATTTTCGCTCTCTCCAACCCTCATAGATATGCAAGGCGCCGTTCTATATCGTTCTATGCAACGATAATTATTATCCCGAAAGCTGAGATCATGTGTAATCCCTCAAAGTTCAGATTATCCGATTACTCGATGACATCGGAAAATTCAATCAAACAGCACGATTCCCGGCGCTTCGCGCACGTTGCAGAATTTTAATCACAGCAATCGTAAAAATCCGCAGTGTGGCACGTACATATGTATACGATCCCGGCGCGCTGACGTAATACCTCTGTCCTCGGGCTTTGACGAGGGAATGTCGCAACTTTTCCCAGGGATTTTCATGGCGTGACATTTTATTACGGAGCCTGGAAAAAGTTCTACTTACATAGCTCCGACGTATAGGGCGTCCCTCTTACTGTCCAGGTAGAGCGTTCTGTAGTACAGCATGCCACAGCTGAATTCCCGCACGTGGTCTGAAAGCAAAAGTAAATAAGGGGATTAAATACGACGTCGTAGCGCGGTGAAATTCATTTTCCGTGCCGCGGAAACGCGGCGAAGCCGCCGCCGTCGTCATCGTCGCCGCCGCCGCCGCGTCGTCGCGGCCGCGCCGCGCGCTCAGTGGATCGTTAGATTTTCATTACGACTTTTATAATAACGGCCGGATAGAGTAAGGCGCAACCCTACCACCTGCCGACCTCGCCGGTAATCCGGCTAAAGTCAACTCTGACTTATCTCTACCGTAAACTCGTCGGAATTACACGGCACGTAACGCGCGCTCGACATTTTCGTTCCATCGGCCAGCGCGGATTCGCTGAAATCCGCGCGGCGGAAATCAACTTGCGCAAGGAGCCGCATGTTAATATTAGCGAATAAAGCGGCCGCGAGAAGAACTTTTGCAATTGTCTTCGTTGTAAGTGTAAATTCTTGTGCGCTTTGAAAAATATATATATTTCAAAGCGCACAAGAATATATATATATATATAAATTCTAGAGTAAAGAAAATATTTAACTCTTCTCGGATTTTGTGGAGTTTCTTGAAAATTTAAAAAGCATATATGATTCGTCTCTTTATCAAAGTAAAGTAAAGGAACAAGAAATAAAAGGATAAACACATTTCACATTTTCAGGCAAATGTAATAATTTCCGAAGATGTGTTTAAGAAGATCGAGTTAAATCTATTATTGTCCGCACATTGATTTAAAACGTGTAAAATTCAGCGGATCCACCGTAATCACGCCAACGAGAAAGAAAACGGTCGACGGCTCTTGCCAACTTCATCTCTTCCTCTTCTTCTTTTTTATCTCATCGACACTGATCTGCTTAACATATGAAAGAAAGCAGCCCCTTTCTAAATATACTCGTTCCACTCCGGGCTAACAGAGCGCGAACAATACTATATTTTATACGGTATCAGGAGGGGCCGACGTCGAATGAAAGGGGTTCTTACTCTGGAACAGAGCTACTCTTCCTGCGTATCTATCCCTTGTACCGCCCTTCTCCCGCTCTCCACTGTCTTCTCACGTACCTGTCTCTCTCTCTCTCTC